TTCCATGCAGGTCCACATTTTCTTGCCTCAGGTAAATCAAATTTGTGAAGGAATAATGAGACATTTTTAGTAGCTACATATATATATATGAATACATACACGATCTTTATTGATTGGGCTCCAGATCCATGGAAAATAGTGACAATTATTTTGGAATTATCAAACCCAAACTCACACTCATGTTCAACAGTTGTTTCATCTCAAAACCAAGTCACAATGCTTTGGAGATCCAAACGCAGACGCCTGTAGCAGACAAAGTTCAGGGAACTCTGCATTGTGAACAAGCGAGTCATCTCTGGGAACACATTAAAAACAGGCACAGCAGTGCGAAGCTAATTGCTGCCTACCTGGGCTAATTACCTGTTACGCAGCAGCGCAGTAATGCAGCCACCCTACCCGTGAATCTGGCACCGCCTTGCAACGAAGACAATGACCTTAAATAACTGTAATGCCTGGGCAACGCCATGACTTCCAGTCATCTTCCATGGAACCGAAGACAAAAAGAATTAAGTCAATTTTTTAATGGCCAGTGATGAATCCTGTTGTTGCTCCGACTTCAGTGAATATAACCATATGCATATTTTGCTAAATTAAGACATACATGTGCATGAGGTCAGTTTTCTCAGGAACATGGCAAGTCTCCCTTGCCCTACTTTTGGTGTCACACTATCACAGCAGTAATATCACGGCAACTTTCACTTCCTCATTTCCTTCCATATGCACTTAGGCTAAAATCAGCTGCTGGGACAGTAACATCTCTGAGTCATTGCCGGCAGAAAGGCTTCTAACTAGAAGTCCTTTTGTTGGTGTAACCTTGTGGGAAGGAGACAAAAAGATAAAATTATCACGCCTCTTAAGTTTAAAATATTGCTTTTGAGATATTTTCTGCCTGACACGTACAAGAATGGCTAAATTTTAACACAGACCTGGGGCTCGTGTTTCTGTTGTAAAGCATGGAGTTGAGCAGAAGAAAAGGGAAGCTGAAGCAGAGGAGGGATGGCTGTTACAAGAATCATTCTTTTTGTGTGTTCGATTTTCCAAGAGAACTTGAAAAAAAAAAAAAAAAGAGCCAATTTCATCTTTGCTTCATTCAGCCACCGCAGGGAACAGGAACAAGTCTGGATCTTTTAGTCTGACTGCATACACACCCCTCGTTTCAACCAGCGGAGTAACAGCAGTCAGGTCTCAGTCTCTTTTTTGTTTTGCTTTTAAGCTAAAAGAATAGCTCCGCTCATATGGGCTGTAGATCAGGCACTATAAAGGGTATCAGCCACAAACATTCAGCCAGTTTGTTACATGCATTTAAAAATTAATTGTGAAACTACAGGAATGAAACCTTTCTGCAGCACTCTGCTATTAAATCTTTGCTTGGGGAATTTTTAGGAGGTTTGGATTAGGAAGGTCCTACTGGTCCTATTAGTGGGAAATAATGTGGTTTATTGATATTTTTATTTCAACAACTGTGTGAAAGTGTCCGTTGGGCAAACCCGCTTTATCCACTTCCCCAGGGGTACCTGTCAATAAATATGCGTTAAAGCTAGAGTAGCTCATTGTGCAAAGCAGGGATGAAAAATACAAAAAGCGAGGGAAGACCTCTTTGCTTCTAGTTTGGGGCAGGGGGAGGAGGGTGTGCCAGAGGGGGTCTCCATGCACCAAGGTAAGGATCGGTAGGGGCAGCTGTAGGCTGGACCTCCCCGTGACAGGGTACTGCAGGGCTACAGCCACTGCTGCTGAATTTAATACGGCGGAAAGAAAACTGCATTCAAATTGTAACTGCAGTGGAGCCAAGGCACAGGGCAGAAAACGTTCTCCATTTGTATAAAATATAGATTTGTATGTAAATATTCAACAATAACTTCTCTGGTAATGAATAAGAAATAAATTGCATATTTGATGTATGATAAAACCATTATTTTGCCCAGATGAGGCAGATGACACTTGATTTATATTGTCTTGCAAAAGCTTCAGACAATTAAGGAGAAAACTGTTCTGAGACTTATTACATTGACAAAATTCTGGTAGAGCTAACAGCGATATGATTCACACAAGGATCGTCTGGCATGTAAAGCTCGTTTTAACAGATACCAATGTGACATACATAAAGCTGTCAGGCTTTCTCTAAAGGACAGTCATCCACTTCATGTTTCAAGTGCCAAATTAATTATATTTGACATTTAATTTATAACCTAAGGTATTTTAGGTTTGGAACTTGACTATGATAACAGCAGATTAGAGCAGCGCTCCGTTTGACAGAATCGATTTTTCAAGTTATTTTCCTCGTGTGTGAGGGTCTTGATTCAGATTTTTGTGCATCGAGCTTGCGTACAGGACACTGATACCTCTAAGCAAAGGAGGCTTCGTTCGCCTCCTCCCCCAGCCATTCCGTGGTGAATTATTTTGCACTTTGAAGCAAGTTTCTTCTGCAGTCTTAATCACAAAGCTCCACCTAATGGAATGAGGGGAGAACTGAGCGCAGAAATAGAAAGGCAGAGAGACGCTGCTCGGCACTGATACCAAGGGAGAACTGCTACACAACCGTAAGCAGTTAGTCTCCTCCACCTACATCTAATTTATAAAGTCTCCCCTTCCAAGGACTTTAACATTTTGAAGTCAGAGGAAAGCAAAAGAAAAAAAAAAAAAAATCTTTATCTTTTCATCTGACTGAAATTGTAATATTTATTGTTACTGATAGATATTTCAGTCTATTTACACTAATATTTCCCACTGATATGTCTCACCTTCTCAGTTCCAAACAATTTAAAAATTATAAATATAGAAAATAACCTGCAAATGTAGTTATATATTTACTGGTAGATGGTTCAAGCAATCAATTAGCTTTTTAAAAAAATGGCAAAATATTTCTATCAATTTACCCACCGAAAATGAAGGCTTTCTGTACAATTTTAAATCAATCATTGATATCACACCGGAGCACAGCTGGAACACTAACATTTCAAAATATTGCTGCAGGAAAGGAGCTGAAGAATTAAAAAAAAAAAATTGCCAATTTTTTGGGGGGAGAGCAATATTTTGTTTTTAACAAAGTGCTTTGCATATGTTAATATAAAAGATCGGACAAATTCCTGCCAAGGCTTAAAAACCCACTCACAATTTCAGAATTGCTCCCCACTCAGAGGAAGGCTCTGTGGCCACTTTCAGACTTTCTCTGCAACAGAAGGTACAAATCTAAATGTCACCTTGTATCAAGACAAAGCGTTTCATTGAAGAACCAGAACATTTGTCAGGATCATCTTATTTAAGATGACTAACGCAGTGATAGCCCTGAGTCTGTATTTTGAAATTGTCAGTAGTAGGACAAGACTAGCTTGTTGTTTTCAGTAAAAATGCTAGTTTGGTATTTAATAGTCTCTGATCAAAAATGGCATTTTGCACAAATAGACCTGCCAGTCTAAAATTGTTTTAATTTCTAACGTTTATGATCAGATGTAGAGGGATGATATCCATAGCAGAGTATCTTCAATTAGAGAGGGGATTAAATAATGTCTTTAACAAGTTAATCTCAAACAGTAATGTGCGATTAAATCACAGTATATCACGGCCAGCACACATTTTGTGGTTTTTATCTCTTAACTTCACTACCATCGTTGATGATGGTTCATTAATCTGCTTTTCTTAACCCCACTTTTCTTTTGATGTCCTTGATTGGTGCCTGTTATGGCTGAGTTCAGCGTGACCGTCCTTCCTTCCTTTCACAAAATTTCTGGTAACGTTACACTGATGCTTCAGCTTCTCTGCTAAATTTGAGGAGGCTTGGCCAAGTTCACAAGGTGCCGGGTGAAAGATGGCAGGACCAGTAAACGGATGGCTATAGGAGAATAACCTTATGGGCCTCTCGAGGAACCCGAGTGCAGCCGGTACCCACAAGACAGGGGCTGCAGTTACACTAAGGGACCCCCCCAGCCCGGCAGCGGCAGCCGGGGACGGAGCAGGCCAGGGCGCCCAGGAGCGGGGGATCCCGGCTGCCGGCAACCGGGAACCCCCAGGGCCGGGCGGCAGCGCTGCCAACCGCCTGCTGTGCGGGGCTGGCACCGCCACCGGGCAAAGCCACCGGCTTCCCTCCTTTAATTCCTCCTCCCGTTATTCGGCGACGGACCCGCCAGCAGCTCCCGCCGCTTTCCGGGAAGGAAGCGGCCGTTATTTCCGTTGGGAAGGGGTA